TTAAAAAAAAAAAAAGATTCCCCGGTTATTCTAATGTGCAGCCAAGGTTGAGAACCACTGAACTAGGAGGTCATGGTTTGATTCCTGGTCAGGGCACATGCCTTGGTTGCAGGCTCAATCTCCAAGGTCGGGTGTGTTGGAGGCACCTGATCAATGATTCTTGCTCATCATTGATGTTTCTATCTCTCTCTCTTCCTCTCACTTTCTCTCTGAAATCAATGTATATATTATATATATATATATATATATATATATATATATATATATATATAATTTTAAAAAGAATAAATGAGGTAATAAGAGTGGTGTCCTAATTCAATATGACTGGTATTCTTATAAAAAGAGGAAAAGCCCAAGTTGGTTAGAGTGTCATCCTGATATGCTAAGGTTTAAGGTTTGATACCCAGTCAGGGCACACACATAATCAACCAATGAATGCATAAGTAAAACAACAAATCGATGTCTCCCTCTCTCTTCCTCTCCTTCTCTCTCTCTCTCTCTTTCTCTCTCTCTCTCCTTTCCTCTCTCTCAAATCAACAAATCAAATTTTAAAAAGAGGAAGAGACACCACAGATGCCCCGGCACAGAGAGAAGACCCTGTGAGGATGCAGCGAGAGGACGGCCACCTGCAAGCCAAGGAGAGAGGCCTCAGAAGAAACCAAATCTGACCTTCATTTGGACTTCTAGCCTCCACACTGTGAGAAAATAAATATCTGTTGTTTAAGTCACACAACCTGTGGTATTTCACTATGGCAGACTTAGCAAACATACAGATGCTCTTTTTTTCCCCCCAATATATTTTTATTGATTTCAGAAAGGAAGGGAGAGGGGAGAGAGAGATACCAACATCAATGATGAGAGAGAATCATTGATTGGCTGCCTCCTGCATGCCCTCTACTGGGGATCGAGCCTGAAAACCAGGGATATGTTCTTAACCAGAACCGAACCTGGGACCTTTCAGTCTGTAGGCTGATGCTCTATCCACTGAGCCAAACCAGCTAGGGCTGCATACAGATGTTTTTATCTTTTATTTCCTACTAGAGGCCCGGTGCACAAAAATCTGTGCACTGGGGGGGGGGGGTCCCTCAGCCTGGCCTGTGCCCTCTTGCAGTCTGGGACCCCTCGGGAATGACCACCTGCTGGCTTAGGCCTGCTCCCCGGTGGATTGGGCCAAAGCTGGCAGTCAGACATCCCTCTGGCAGCTTGGGAGCCCTCGGGGGATGTCCACTTGCAAGCGAGGAGCAGGCCTAGCTGCAGTTGGACATCCTTAGTGCTGCTGAGGAGGCTGGAGAGGCTCCCATCACCCACTGCTGTACTGGTAGCCGTCAGCCTGGCTTGTGGCTGAGCAGAGCTCCCCCTGTGGGAGCGCACTGACCACCAAGGGGCAGCTCCTGCATTGAGCATCTGCCCCCTGGTGGCCAGTGTGTGTCATATTGACTAGTCATTCCCAGTCATTCTGCTGTTAGAGTCAATTTGCATATTACCCTTTTATTATATAGAATTTTCTATGTCTTTGTCTTTTGCTCTACTTTCTGGGAATTTTCTTTGATATTATCATTCAATGTTTTTATTGTTTTTCATTTCTGATATCATATTTTTAATTTCCAACAGTTTTTTTGTTGTTGTTGTTCTCTGAATGTTCCTTTTTTCCTTGTGTTGTGTCAGATGTACTACTTCTTATTTTATCTGAATATAGTAATAACTAGAGGCCTGGTGCATGAAATTCATGCACATGGGGGGAGTCCCTCAGCCCAGCCTGCCCCCTCTCCCAGACTGGGAACCCTTAGAGGATGTCCTACTCCGTGGGGAGTGGGCCTAAGCCACAGTCTGGCCTCCCTCTGTGGGAGGTCAGAGGGACTTTGAAGGGCAATACAGTGATAGAAATATGCCAGATTAAAGATGTATGGGTTGCTTTTTTTTTTTTACCATTTTAAAATTCAATTAGTTAATTTATTTTTATTAAAGCATAGTTGACATACAATATTCTATTAGTTTCAGGTGCACAACATAGTGATTCAACATTTATATACCTTATGACAGTGATGGCGAACCTATGACACGCATGTCAGAGGTGACACATGAACTCATTTTTTTGGTTGATTTTTCTTTGTTAAATGGCATTTAAATATATAAAATAAATATCAAAAATATAAGTCTTTGTTTTACTATGGTTGCAAATATCAAAAAATTTCTATATGTGACATAGCACCAGAGTAAAGTTAGGGTTTTCCAAAATGCTGACACGCCGAGCTCAAAAGGTCCGCCATCACTGCCTTATGATGTGATCACCACAATAATTCTAGTTACTGCACTATTATTAAAATACTAGTGGACCAGTGCACAAAATTTGTGCACATTAAAAGAGAATTAATTAGAGGAAATATTTTAATATTGCTATTAGCCCTTTCTCTATAGTAGAAGTGTCAGAGATGAAAGAAAATTAGTAAAATATACATGAAAATCTTCCTCTTGTCAGAGTCTAGGGTGCACCACAGGACTCAGAGTCAAGTCCCTGCCCACCCATGCACACCTCGAAATATCGCGAGACCCAGACCCAGCCGGCCCCACCCCCGTCAAGCCCTGTAGGGCGGGGGCGCAGCCTCAGGTCCCCCAACAAGCCCCACCAGGCAGGGGGCTCAGCCTCAGGACTCCTGGTCCAGCACCAGGCAAGTGGCACAGCCTCAGATCCTCCAGCAAGGCCTCAGGTACCCCAGCCCCAGAGCCAGGGCAGGGGGCACAGCCTCAGGTGCCCTGGCCCAAGCGCAAGGGCACGAGGGCGTGAGGGCATGAGGGCGTGAGGACCATTTGCATATTAGCTCTTTATTATATAGGATTATTAACTTTATTCCCTATGCTATACATAACATCCCCATGACTTATTAATTTTATAACTGCAAGTTTGTATCTCTTGTTTCCCTTCACCTTCTTCTCCCAACCTCCACCTCTCATCCACCTCCCCTCTGGCAACCATCAGTTTTTCTCTGTATCTATGAGTCCGTTTCAGTTTGGTTTTGTTAATTTGTTTTATCTTTTCAGATTCCACCTATAAGTAAAATCATGCAGTATTTGTCTTTCTCTGTTAGACTTATTTCACTTAGCATAATATCCTCTAGGTCTTCCATGTTGTTGCAAATTGGAAGATTTCATTCTTTTTAATGGCTGAGTAATATATGCATATGTAATATATCACATTTCCTTTATCCATTCATCTGTAAATAATGCTGCAATGAACATAATGGTGTACATATCTTTTTGAATGAGTGTTTTGTTGTCTTCAGATAAACACCCAGAAGTGGAATTGCTGGGTCATATGGTAGTTCTATTTTTGTTTTGTTGAGGAATCTCCATAGTGTTTTCCATAATGACTACACCAATTTACAATTCCACCAACAGTGTACAAGATGCCATTTTTTCCACATCGTTGTCAACACTTGTTTGTTGAATTTTTGATACTCGTCCTTTTGATGGGTGTGAGATTCAAGCTTGTTTAACTCTTCTCACGGGAAAGAAGAAAGTTTGTAAGTTTAAGTCCCAAGGGACTTGAGATTAGGCCTGTATTCCTCAAATGCTTTTCTACAAACATAGGCGTAAGTTAGTCATGTAAAACTTAAAACCAGTGATTTGCAACCTTTTTCGTCTCATAGCACATATAATCTAATTACTAAAATTCTGTGGTGCACCAAAAATATATATTTTGCTGATCTGACCAAAAAAATAAGGGGGGGGGGAGGTATATAACTTTGATTCATTCACACTGGATGGCTTTTGTTGTATTGGGTGTTGTCATTTTTTTTATTTGATAATCAAGAGAAAATAGTTCAGTGCCCCTGGCTAAGTAATTAGGTATGTTATGTTTTAAAATTTCTTGCGGCTTGCCAGTTGAAAATTGCTGCTTTAAACTTAGAGACTTACTTCTCCTCACTCATTGTTATGTGGTTTTGTAGGCATCTTTTCCAATTTACATAAATTTCATCCAGGTAGAAAGTCTGTTGACAGATGAGCCCTTTTTATCATTGAGGAACTCTGCAAGTTCCTACCAACACCATAGCAGCCATGGGATCTATTAGCCACTCCCCAAGTCAGCTCTTCTTATACTCACTCATTCAGGCCTTGAACCTGAGTCCCCATCTGTGGTTCCACAAAAGTGTCAGTAGCACTTACCGCGATTATTTACGTTCTTATACAAACAGCTTGCCTTCTTCTGGACTAACTTAGGCTAATAGGTATTGAATTTATTTGTTACTTATTCAGCCACAATTAATGGTTTTTCCATTTGTTCACTGCTTTCCCTCATTTCTTATTGGTTACATTGGCACAACACTTATCACATGTGTATATCTTGCTCTTTGACCTTCAGATACATTCTTACTATTGAACAATTGATCTGAAATTCATGTGTAACACTCAGCATTTTGTCTTCACTTGAAATTTTTTCTCTCCTCCATCATCATCTGTCAACACTCACTGCCTTTACACTCACCAGATGTGATGAGAAACATGTATGTACATCTCAGAAATGAGCCCAAATGTAGGAAGCATGGCCATTCTGCTACCCTATGTCTTTACATTTAAAGTGGTTATTGATAGGTACATGGTTATTGCCATTTTATTCATATTCATGTTTTTTCCCCCTCATTGGGGGGCAGGATTTATAATTACAGAAATAAGACAAAGGTTGGCAAAAAGGCTAACATTCATAATTGAAGTTCTAAGTTGAAAATCAACAATTCTCTGAACTCAAGACTCAAATCTATACATTGAAAAGGCACATTTGGACTAGGAAATATTGGCCTAGAATGATGAGAACAAAGAGAGCTCCGTTTGCAATAATGTCAGAGCAGATGACTTGGGCCTGCTCTCTCATTGAAAACAACCAAAAAAGCTGGAGAAATTACATAGGAGTGGGCAAAAGTAGGTTTACAGTTGTGAGTATGGGAAATGTTTATTATTGTATTGTTGTTTTTTTTTTAGAAAACAAAAGTAAAGGCAATTTTATTATACATGGGAAAATAAATCACATTTAAGCACAAACATAAAAACAACAGACTCATTTCTCATCTTCAAGCTGTTTCTTTTCACTGGTTTCTTCCATATCAAAAGTGAATGGTTTGTCATAACCCATTAGATGGTCATAGTCTTTGGGGTTTGGAAAGAGACCTGAATTAACTAACAGTGATTTTGTTTTAGCATAAAATGTGGTAAACAGATGTGTGCTGCTTGGAATCTTCACATCATTCTGTTGAAACACAGTACTGGTTTCTGAAAGCAAAACATTGTAAGTAATGGCTTTGTAAGTATCTGTCGTGGCCTCATGGTACAACCGAATGACATAGCCTTTTGTAACTCAGTGAAGCAGGACTGGAGTGATCAGTGTAAAGCTTCCTATGATGCCATAAAATAAGATTTGCAAAGGCAGACTTCCAAATACAACATTATTTGGGGCAAAAATGTATGGTAGAAATGTAAGGCTGATCACACTTGTAGAATAAGAGAAACATTTCACACCAAATACTGTTCGGGCCAAATTCCCAGTATAAATCAGTCTTCCGTCTTCTGATTTTTCAACTTGTTTGTGTAAGCATCGAACACATCTTTCCCAACAAATGGGTATCTTGGTTGCAGGCACTTCCCCAGTGGGGGTGTGCAGGAGTCAGCTGATCCATGCTTCTCTCTCATTGATGTTTCTAACTCTATCTCTCTCCCTTCCTCTCTGCGCTGGCGCGGGACTCCGGAAAAGCCGCCGCCCAGCGCTCCCGCCGCCGACTGGCCCCGAGGAGCTGCCGGAGGCCCCTCGCGAGCCGGCCGCCCTGAGGCCTGGGAACCCGATGGCCGCCCACGGCATCGCCCTCTGCCCGCAGAGCAGCCGACCCGCCGCCAAGGGCCGCCCAACGCCAAAAGCAGCATCCCGCACGGAGGAGTGGCGACGAGCCCCGCCGCGCCACGTGCCGGGAACCCCGAAGGCCTATTACTGTATTGTTTATTAATTATTGTATTATTTATTATTATTAACCTACTTTTGCCCACCCCTGTATATCTGCTTGAAACTATCAGAAAGCAATGCGGAAGGATTTATGGGGTTAAAATCTGTGATGAGGCTGGCCACATGGGGGCAGCCTTACACAGGCTGTCAGAGCCTATCAGAGAGCACTCAGGGGGAGGGAGGGTGTGAGTCCCACAGTCCATAGGAAAGGAGAGATGAGTTTGGCATTGGAGAGACCTCTGCCAATTCTGAAAGTAGAGGCCAAGAGGTCTAGAAGCTAAACACAGTTTTTAACAGACGCATGGGCTGAAGGGACAAAAATTAGAGTTGAGGGCTGCAAGGAAAAATTAGACACCTCAGGTTTTAATTTGAAATGCGAAACAGTTCATCCAGATTCCAATGACCTCAATCCTGTTTGGATTAAAGGGACTACAAGTGACTAATGTCTACCTGCCTGGCAGAAGCAAAAGTAAGTTATCTAGGAGAACAACATCGTCCAGAGCTTTGAACTGTCTACAGTTCGTCAAGGGTGATTCTGCGGCTCAATTCAAAATAACCGGACTTGCCAGGAGACAAGATCTGGACAAAAGTCAAGAGAAATGACCATGGAAACAGGTCTATACGGGATCTGAGGCTCTCAGCCAGGGGTCAGCAAAACATGGCCCATAGGCCAAATCCAGCCCTCCACCTGTTTTTGTAAATCAAGGCTCATGGAGTCACAGCCACACTCATTCTTGTGTGTGTGTGTGGCTGCTTTTGTACCGTTAAGAGCAAAGTAACAATGTAGGCTAAATAAATATTATCTATTATAATCAGATAAAGTCCTATCTATCCATGCTTCTATCTAAAGTCCTTCTCTAAGTTAATACCTAATGAATAAAATAAAATGTTAAAAATTGCTAGGAAAGTGACCATATACAGATTTGTGGAAGATGGAAAAGAACCCTGAGCTCCAAAGCCTGAAGTATTTACTGTCTGGCCCTTTACAGAAAAAGTTTATTATCCCCCCAATCTAAGCAGCTACTTCAATAATAGTGGAATAGTAAACAGAGGATCAATATAGCCAACAATTGGAAAAGATAATAAAATAGATAAACCCTAATGAGGCTCATGAAGAGAGGGACAGGGAGTGAGGCGAAGGTACAACTAACCAGTCTGAGGAATTGAAGGGGGACATTAACATAAATTCTGCATAAATGAAAAAATAAAGAGCATTTAACAAACAAATTATGCTAATAAACTTAAAAATTTATGTTCATTGAAAAAACTATTTATTTATCTTTGCTGTTAAAAGTCTTACAGATGTCCCTGGTTTCTCCCCCATTGGCCCTGGTCCTCTCCATCCCACTCATTTGAAAAATTCTTAGGGCAAACACGAACTTACCAAAAGTGAGAAGCCCTAGCTGGTTTGGCTCAGTGGATAGAGCATCGACCTGTGGACTGAAGGGTCCCGGGTTTGATTCTGGTCAAGGGCACATGCCTGGGTTGTGGACTAGATCCCCAAGTAGGGGATGTGCAGGAGGCAGCCAATCAATGATTCTCTCTCATTATTGATGTTTTTATCTCTCTCTCTCTCCTCTCTTCTTCCTCTCTGAAATCAATAAAAGTATATTTAAAAATAGAAAGAAAAGTAAGTAATCCTCTGTCTATTAAAGAAATTGAATTTCATAATTCCCACAAAGTAAACAAGAGGTGAATTCATTCTAAAGTTCAAGGAAGAAGCAACACCAATTACAAAAAAACCTTTTAGAGAATAAAAAAGGGTAACCTGGCCTCACCTGAGCAGGGTGAGGAGGGAATCCATGCCAGTCCCAACCCAGTGTACGGTGTCAGAGCCCACGGGAGGTGATGAGGCTGCCCACATGGGGGGAGCCTTACATAGGCTGTCAGAGCCCAGAGATAGAGAGAGAGAGAGAGAGAGAGAGAGAGAGAGAGAGAGAGAGAGTCCCCAGTGTCCATGTGGAGGGACAGCCTTGTAGAGTGTTACTGATGGCTGCGTGCTGGCACGGGAGTCAGAGCCTGAGAAAGGGGAAGAAAGCCAGCTGTGGGTTGTGACAGCCTGGGTGAGGAGGGCATCCATGCAGGGGGGTGGCCTTGTGTGGGGGTGGCAGAGCCCAAGCAGGGAGAGGCAATACCTGGGTGGGTAAGAGGGGAGCAGTGGAGATGAGAGGTTAATTACATATGGGAGACTGAAAATAGGTGGGTTTCTCATTGTCTGAGAAGACAGTTCCAAATACAGAAAGGGTGAAGACTAGAATGAGCCCTGCGGTTTTGGATTGGAGTTTTATGTGCATAAATATATTTCCTATGTTTGTCCACGCCACCCCCTGCTGGTCAGCACACATCATAGCGAGCAATCGAGCTCCCGGTCTTCTGGTTGATCTCCTGAGGGGACACTTTGCATATTAGCCTCTTTTATATGTAGATTTCACAAATGTTAAATAAGTGGAATCATTCAGCATGTATACTTTTGAAACTGGCTTTTTTCATTTGGCATAGTTTCCTTAAGGTTCCGCCAAGATGTATGTATCAACAGTTTGTCCCTTTTTCATTGCTGAGAAGTATCCCATGGTGTGGACATACCATGGTTTGTTTAACCTCAGTCACCCATTAAAAGAAATCTGGACAATTTACAGTTTGTGGCTATTAAGAATAAACTGCTATAAACATTCATGTACGAGTTATCTTTCCTTTTTTCTTTCTCTCTGGGTAATCACCAATCTTGATGACTCAAACCTCCTAAATATCTCTTGAACCTGCCCCACCATCATCTGCCATCTGGATTACTTGTCACTTAAAATATGTATGTTGGAGAGAGGAGGGGAGATAGGAGGGAGGGAGGGAGGGAGGGAGGAGAGAGAGAGAAAGAAAGAGAAGAAAGAGAAGAAAGAAAGAAAGAAAGAAAGAAAAAGAAAGAAAGAAAGAAAGAAAGAAAGAAAGAAAGAAAAGAAAGAAAAGAAAAGAAAGACTAATGTGAGAGAGAAACATCGATTGATCGCCTCCCATATGAACCCTAACAGGTGACTGAACCAGCAACCTAGGTGTGTGTCCTGACCAGGGATCCACCTGGCAGCCTTTCGGTGCATAGGAAGACACTCCAACCAACTGAGCCACACCAGCCTGGGCTACTTGTCATTTCTCTGGCAGCAGTCCCTGAATCCAATCGAGGGTGATTTTTTTTAAAGCTTTTGATCCTGTTACTCTCCAGTTTCATACTTATGACTAGCTTCTCATTGTCTTGGGGATTACGTCTCAAATCGCACTGCTCTGCTCACCCCTCCAACCTCACTTCTCTTCAGTTTTCACCAGACATCCTCGCACATCTTTCAGTGTCTGCATGGCAGATGGAGGAAAGAGCAGGAGTGAAAGCAGAGAATAGGGTGAGAGCATGGCAGATGCCAGCAAGGGTAAAATCGCTGTCACTGGTGGGAGAGCGCATGCAGAGTTCACTAGGCTAGTGCTCTGCATTAGGCTTAGTGATTGCGTGGTAGGTTTCAAACACAATAACTTGCAGCACAGTATTGATTGGCGCTACTGTAGAATTAATTCCGCTGGTGTGTGTTAAATCTTGTTATTTCCTCTTGGTTTGAACCTGACTCAACACACAACAACAGCAGACCGTGGAGTAAATTAAGTGCACAAGTTAACTGGTTTCTGGAACTTGGATCATGTCAGGAGACTCAGGACAGAAATGATCTTGCTATTTTGCAAAGAGCAGGAGTTTAAATGACAGGGATATTGAGAGCTAAAAGAACAGAAAGTAATCACTAATGCTTGGGGGGAAAGCACTGGTCTGATACTGTGCTTTCAATACTGTGCTGCAAGTTATTGTGTTTGAAACCTACCACAAAATCACTAAGCCTAATGCATAGCACTAGCCTAGTGAACTCTGCATGCGCTCTCCCACCAGTGACAGACCCAAATTATTTACCGTTTGCCAGCGTCCCATGCACCCCAGGACCCAACAAAATTTAGCCTTTTGGTGGGGTCAAGCCCTGCCCCTAAGGCAGGAAATGTTCCCAGGGATGTCCCTCTGACCTGCAGCCAGGCTGCTGGACTCGCAGGGAGCCGATGCTGGGAGTGCTGGTCCTGTTCCCTAGGCTGTTCTACAGCCTGACGAAGGCCAGCAGCTCCACTAGTTGAGTGAGGAATTGCTTCACCTTAACCTTTCAGCCCTGGAGAGGTGCAAGGACTCATACCTTGTCTTTCTCTAGTGTGAAAAAAAATGACTTAGCCCCATTAACATTTCCTTATACCTCACCTGTACCCAAACAGGTTATATTGCTGGGGAATGAAAGACAACCCACAGGCATGCTGACAGATCTCACTTTAACTTCATAATCACACCTGGCCAGTGTGGCTCAGTGATTGAGCATCGACTCATGAGCCAGGAGGTCAGGGTTCAATTTTTGTCAGGGCTCATGCTTGGGTTATAGGCTTGATCCACAGTAGGGGGCATGCAGCAGGCAGCCAATCAGTGATTCTACTCATCATTGATGTTTTGCTCCCTCTCTCCCTGTCTGAAATGAATAAAAATACATTTAAATTCATTACCACAGATCTCATATGGGCCCTCAAATCTGCCAGGCATCTTAGGCACCTGTCTGCAATCCTTCTGGATTGGTGTCCCCACTCTCCAAAATGACTATTACTATTTTACTTCCCTGCCTCCTCCCTCAAAGCCATAGTACAGGTGCCTGGCCACTCACCTTCTACCCATCTCTGCTCTCAGTATTGGCCGCATAGTACACTGAGAGAGTAGAAACAATCTCATATAAATTCTCCCCTGTCAGGGCCCACACTTCCCCTAGGTCCATTCGTCCTTCTTGCCCTGCTATCCCCGGGATGAAGGGCCTCTGCTCCTGCCAATGGCAGTGTCTCCCCATGCAGTCTCCATCTCATCCCTCTCACTGCTCCACGGTAGGCTGTTTCCTGCATCCTGCATCTCTCCCTCTTTGCAATTACCCCATCATTGTGCAAACTGCCCTAATAACCTCCATTACAAATGGCTCTCTATTGAGCCTACATAGCCCTCCAACGACCGCATCATTCTCTGCTCCCTTTTACAGCAACACGTCTGTGGTTAGATATCTACACTCACTAGTTCCACTCCTCACCTCCCATTCTCTTTTTCCTGTTCCGATTAGATGCTTTTTGCTTCCTCATATGCCAAATTGCCGATTTGAATCTCGGTGTCCTCTACTATTTTTTAAAAATATATATTTTATTGATTTTTTACAGCGACAAAGGAGAGAAATAGAGAGTTAGAAACGTCGATGAGAGAGATACATCGGATCAGCTGCCTTCTGCACAACCCCTACTGGGGATGTGCCTGCAACCAAGGTACATGCCCTTGACAGGAATCGAACCTGGGACCCTTTGGGACCCTTCAGTCCACAGGCCAACACTCTATCCACAGAGCCAAACCGGCTAGGGCTCTACTCTACTATTGATTCCCTGAAATTATTCATTTCAGGTGGCGTATGCTTCATTTTGATTGGTCCTTTTTTAAGTCACTGATGTTCTCTTGAAGTTGCCACTAAGTTCCTTGATGTTGTTACTACGTTCCTTGAGCATCCTTATAACCATTGTTTTGAACTCTGTACCTGATCATTTGCTTGCTTCCATTCCATTTAGTTCTTTTTCTGGAGATCTCTTCTGTTCTTTCTTTTGTGACATGTTTCTTTGTCTCCGAATTTTTGCTGTTTCCCTGTGTTTGTTTCTATGTATTAGGTAGAGCTGCTATGTCTTCCTGTCATTGGAACCCTGGGCTGAGGGTGGTGTGGGGCTAGGACCCCTTGCTCCTCACGTTGATGCATTTTTTTCCACAGCCAAGATATCCTGCCCAGCAGGCATGGCTCAGTGGTTGAGCGTTGACCTATGAACTAGGACAGTGGTTCTCAACCTTGGCTGCACATTAGAATCACCTGGGAATCTTTTAAAAATCCTGATTTCTGGGCCTCATCCTCTGGAAATTGTTTCTTTGTTACTAATGTTGTGGCCCCACCCCATAACAAAGAAACAGAATTTGTGAAAATATATCTACAGCAAATGCAAAGTCACACAGCCAATTCTTGTCACTCAGCTCAGTAAATTCGTCAGACTTCCCCTTTAATTTCAAAAATGCATCAATCTCTTCTTTGAGCTCCCACACTCGTTGGAAAACTTTGCCCAAACTCAACCAGGGCACACAAGAGTGGTAAAGTAAGTCGTGGTGATCCGAATCAGTTTCCTCCAGAAACTTAATAAACTGACGGTGCTGAAGTCCCTTTGCTCAAATGAAATTAACAAGCTTTACGACTGGATTAACAACATGATTAAGGTGTAGTATAGACTTGCACAATGATTCCTGGTGAATAATACAGTGAAGAAAAATAACATCTTGGTTAGGGTTCTCCTCTTTCACTTTATCCTGAATTCTTTTTAGCAGTCCAACATTTTTTTCCAGTTAAATTTGGAGATCCATCTGTCGTGACATTAGCAAGCTTACTCCATGGTAGCTTCATTTTCTCGATGACAGTAGACACCCGGTCATACAAGTCCTCTCCCCATGTTTTTCCTTTCAGTGGCTCCATGGCTAAAAACTCCTCCATAATTTCAAAATTGTCACTAATCCCTCGGATAAAAATTAAGAGCTGAGCAGTGTCCTTGACGTCATTACTTTCACTCAATGCTAGTGAATAAAACTTAAAGAACTCTGCCTTACTATTTAACTTGCTGGCAAGTCTTCATCAATCAGTTCCACTCGATGAGTCACTGTCCTGCGCGATAAGCTGAGTTTTTCGAACTTGCCTTTGCTCTCTGGACACAAGAGACCTGCTGTGTCTATCATACATTCTTTCAAAAACTCGCATTCAGAGAGAGGTTTGCTAGCTTTTGCTAATTGGAATGATAGCATAAAACTTGCTTTGGTAGTTGTCTCTTGAATTGCAGTTTGTCTGTGAAAGACATTTTGCTGAGCCTGTAATTTAGCCATCAACCTCTGTGCAGTAGCCTCCCGTTCTTGAGGTGACTGCTTGCTAGCATAGTTGCCATGCCTTGTGGCAAAGTGATGGCTGAGATTGTACTCTTTGAAGACTGCAAGTGTTTCCTGGCATATCAGACATATCGGCATTGATCGGACTTCGGTGAAAAAATATTTTGTTGTCCACTCCCTCTTAAACACTCGGCATTCACTGTCCACTTTCCTTTTCTTTGGTCCACTCATGTTTAATATTGGGCTAAAACCAACAGTACCATTCTCTTATTAAATTCTTTACTAAAATAAGACAGTAAAGTATAAAAACAAGTGATTAAATTTGTCTACTATAACATTTTTGGTCTTCTAAAAAATATATATATAACAAAATCATCTGAAAAAGTTCAGACATGGGACAGAGGCACACCCTGACCATAGAAAACAACCCCTTTCCTCCATAGGAAACCTGTGTATCTTTCACACAGACCCTTTGTTTATGGTAACACACATAGCTGCACATTGCTGTGTCTTCCAGATACACTTGTATGGGAGGTGCTAGGGCAGTGCAAAACATGGGTAACCAGTAGTTACCACTAGCACTTCCGTTATTGGCAAAAAACAGCCGCAGTGCACATAGTGTGAAAGAGCCCATTATCAATGTCAGATTGCATCCACTGGACTCTATAAAAACAACCAAGTGCCACTTTTAAATGCCCATTGCAACAGTTTTTCTTATCAAAAGCTGGAAATGGCAGGATATTTATATATATACCCCTACTGTGACAGCCTGGCAGAGCATTACAAAGGAGAAAACCCAGCATCTGGTGATGTCCATAAGTACAAGACTTCAGGCTGTCATTACCAGGAAAGGGTTTCATCCAAGTATTAGATATGAACATTTGATTTTCAGTTTTTCATTTGTCCGATTACTTCTGAAACCCTGAAATTAAGCGATTTTGTAATAAAATCTTTAGTTCATCACATTTCTATACAATCTTTTTGTTCAACCCACTGAATTAGGGTTCATTCACACTAGCCATGCTGCTGTTGCAGTGTGGTGCAGTACTGCAATGCAGCGCAGCTAGGGTTAATGCAGGGTACACAGGTTTCCATCATGTTTGCGTTGATGCTAATGTGCAGTGGTGCATATTAACACAAATGCCCTGTAGCACTCATTTTTACAGGCGCAAGGGGGAGAAGCAAATGCAGCGCAAAATGCATTTGTTTTGCCGCTAACACATGCGGTTAGTGGTCACGGTAGCGTTACTGATACCGCATCCATATCAGCAAAAAAATGCAGCCGCAGCATGGCTAGTGTGACATGTCCTCTGTGTGTCTTTTTCCCTGCTGCGCGCGTCCGCAGTGGGAAAAAAAACTGCAGTGGATACAAGCCCTAAAAGCTGAAAGTCTTTGTTGTTTTATTAACAAGTCATTGTGATGTACAGAATGTGGGAACAGGAAAAAATTGTGTTTGAGTAGAGCTCTTAATCTTACCTCAGAAAGGCTCTGATACTGTGCTCTCCAGGGGCGTGTCTCCCTACATCACCACGATAACGTGTCTAGCATTCCCAGGGTGATGTCGGGAGACGCGTCCGCGGGCATTACAAGGAGCCTCTGGAAGACTGAGAGGTTGTTCCTTCTACTGAATGGGCGGATATAAATCCGCCCACTCAGAAGAAGGAGCTGCGGCCGTTTTTCCCTACGTTGCCATGTTAACACTGCTGCTGGTGAAGGAGCAGAGGGGAGAGCAAGAGAACCCTCTGCTCTTTCGGCTCCCTGGCCGGATAGAACAGCCTAACAGGCTGGATCTGGCCAGCGGGCCATTGTTTGCAAACGGCTGGTATAGACTCAGGTGTGAAAGGGAAATATCACTGTGCCCTGGACCCACCCCTGAACGTTCTGGAAAAGTGAGGCCAAGGTTAGACCTTTGAAAGCTTGAGTGTAGTGAGAATGCCAGTGGAGGCCATTGGAGAAGCGACAACAGCATTCCATGAAGACAAGGAGGCTCCTGGGATAGTTAGTGAAAGCAGAGAATTCTGTCTGGGACTTCAGGATTAAGAGCGATTAGCCAATAGACTAATGTAAGGATCTCCACACTCCAGTCTTAGATGGGGGCGTGGGGGTGGTGGGTGGGCACCCAGTGAGACAGAAGGTTGCAGCAAGACCTAGAGCTGGACTGGAGGAGCCCAGTGACAGAAATGATTCTCTTGCCTATCACCTAAGGAAGAAAAATGGAGACTAAAGGTAACATCTCCAAAAACAGAAAGGCGCCTTCCTTTCTTCAAAGGCATGGGCACGTCCTAACTGTCAAAAAGTATGACTTCACTTTGTTTTTATTATAAATCATAGACTATGGACTCCAATCAAGGACAAATTTAAATACCAGGGAATCCCTCCTGGAAGGGAAATAGAAACAAAAACCGCAAAGCTGCTAGAAC